TTTAAAATATGTAAGGCTGACATACAGAGATGATTTTTTATGAAAATGGAGAGACCCTAACAGTTCCTTCTTGACATAGAAAGCAGAAAAATAAGAGTAAGGAGATCTTGAGTGGAATGAAATCTGTCATTTGGTAAATTTTAGATTTGAATTAGAGACTGTCTCATCCAAGATCAACTTACCATGAATGAAGATCTGTCTCCAAATGCAATGTGCAAGCTCTGAATCAGAGCTATACAGTTGTAGATACTTTGAACAGTAGACTTCTTGTTGTCAATTCCATTACAGTATTGAGGTTTGATACAAAGCCATGTGGACCCTTTTCTTCCCAGAACTGGAAAAATAAAGTTGAATTTGATGACATTTGATAACAAAGTTCCTTTACAGTCACTGAGTGAAATGCTACAAACCCATCGCTGTGTATCCAAGTCCCAAATTTAGAAGCTTTTTCCATGAAAATGATCCCTTCCTGGCTTAAAATGGCTTAGATGTAACCCTACATTGATGTTTCCTTGAGAATATAAAGATCTATGAAGCCTCTGCTTTTTTCTTCACTCACTCCTCCACTGCTCGCTGCAGCTCAGCACACCAGCTCAACTACTACTCAAACACTGTAAAATTACTCTACGATACACAATACCAAGCTGTAATATTGGAGTAATTCAGCCACACATTTGACCAAGAGACTGATTCTGATTAAGAATAGTGATACATAGAGTTTTTTTTAAGGTTTGTTATGTATTGAACCCTAGAAATCTGAATCTGTGTTTTTGAGACTGTCATCAAAACACTGCAGATTGAAGGTCAAAATGCTTCCTCATTGTGTTGACTTCTTATTTTGCTCGCAATGTGTCCTCCAGCTCATAAAAAACACCATGTGGACATGTTAAAGCAGTAAAAAGATTGATTTTCACTGGAGGGTCTTTAATAATAGCTCGTTTTTATGAGCTAACTCCACAGCTCTGGTGGGCTGATACACATGCTGACCCACTGACAAAGGTTTACTGGGCCACTGAATGGAAACGAAGCCACTGTTAATGCTATTACTTACACCTGTGCTTATCCTGCTTTGACTAGTCAAAATGTCTGCCATGAAAAGGGTCTGTTCCAAACATGTGCTGACCTTCTGACAGCTGCTCACATTCTGACCTTCCCTTTTATCCACGTTATGCTTCCTCTGGCTACGACCTGCATTTCTGCTGCCTATATGCAGAAAACAACCACTTTCTATGCCAGTCAGAGGCGTTAACATGCTCTCCCTACTCCTCCTTAAACCCACAACACTCGCTCTCTGCTCTGACCGTGCACACTTTCTTTCCTCAAAACACAAACACCCATGTGTCTCGCACTCCCTCGAGCACAAACACACACACATATAAATCTGTCTCTGTGTCAATATTCTTTTAATCTCTTTGGCCTTCTTTTGGTATTCAACCCCTCTGACCCTGTTGCTAAAAAGTAATTCCCTCTCAGCCTCTCCTCCTCAGCTATCTGCGCTTTCACTTTATTTTTGATCCAGTCAGCTCTCTCTTTTCTACTCCCCTCTGCTCTTTTACTGGGGCTTTTTTTCCTTTGCTCGTGTCCTTGCTTTGTAGCCCTTGACCTGGTGTCCTTCCTGGTTTGTGTGTATGTATGTTTGAAAAAGAGCCACAGGGCATGTGTGAGAAAGAGAGATCTGGTCTGAATAGATACAGCTCCTTCAAATTCTCACTACATCTTGATACGTGCGTAACAGTCGCACAGCATATAATCCCGATATGTTGACACGGATGACGTATTTGATCGCTCAGATTTAATCACCCTTAACAAATGCCCATGCACACAAACATTCATATGTACACACACGCATGCCATGCGCACACATTGGGAGTGTGATCTCCTCACAGCAATTATCATAGCAGGGCAGGCATGCACACGTGTCCCTGGGGAATCTGTGCAAGTTTCTCGTAAACACACACACACACGCTCCAGGGAGTGGCGTGTGTGTATAACTAAGCCCTTGTTCGTCACTGGGTGTCCCTGAACGCCTCTCTGCTGCGTCGTTATGGTCGTTTTGGAATTCTGCCGTCCCGTGAGCCCTCCCACACCCTATAATTAGTGTCACCCGGGCAACCGGAGAAAGAATGCTCAGTATTCTTGTCGTCGTGGTAACTGCGTAAGTGCGGGGGCCGGAGGTGCTGGTTGTAGGTGTTGGTTAATGACACGGACAATGAGACCTCAGTCTGCCACTTCATGTGGTGTATTAGTACAACTAAGATAGGTAAACCTGTGTGTGTGTGTGTGTGTGTGTGTGTGTGTGGAGACCTGTCTGTCCCTGACGTGCCACACAGACCCTCAGACAGGTTGTGAAAGTAGACCCTTATGCTGTGTTCCCATGATTACAGCTGTTGCTTACAATAGCTTCAGAGGCCTACGGACATGCACGCAAATGCATAAAACCTCAGGAAATAACCAACCGTGGCCGGATCAACCTGTTAGTGGGACCCATGGGTCTGTGAGTTGTGTGTGTTATTGCTGCACACAGCGAGTGACAACTTCACTTTATTTACCTTGGAAAAAGAACCAGAGCTGTTGTTGGTGTAAAACTAGCCGACCCCAAGTTCACTGTGTATCAATTAGTTTGTGGTAAAAAATGAAAATAAAAAACCTATTTGGAAATTGCACCAGAGAAGCATAACGTAAACCAGTGCAGTGGGTCACAAGATACAGCTGAGGGGCCACACGATTTTGTAATGGGATAGAAAACAAGATGGTTTTGTCACACAAATTTGAATCCAATCTTCATTTCAAGACTCTAATCTTGATGGGGTTTTTTGGGGTAAAATATTAGTGATAGATAATTTTACCTCTAATGTGTACCTAAATTTAACAGTCTGAGAGGTGGACAATGCTTTATTGTGAAACCCCAAGCCGATAAGTAAAAAAAAAAAAGATTTTGACTCCCTCTACGGTACACAATACTGGGATTTGCCACAGTTTACATTTTTCTTTTTGATTAGAATACATTGCAACTACTTTATTCACAATGCATTTATTCAAATCAACAAGTGCCACATAACTGGCAGTTCAACTTGAGGTTTAGGGGGCCCAGTGTAGGACAGTTGCTCTCTTTGCCAACAGGCCCAGATGTAAACCAGCAGGGACATGTTTGTGATTGAGGATGAAACATTCACTTGATGACAGTGAAATTGTTGTCAAGCTCTGCCATTCACAGTTTAGTAGCATCGATTTCTTGGTGGGGATTCGGCAGCCCTACCAGGTCAGTAAAAGACTGCTCACAGAACAAAATCTCATTAACCTCAGGAAGCCTATTGCTTCACTTGGGGGGCAAACTGTCAGAAAACCTTAACTGGTGGGTCTCTAGTTTCCTCTGCTGTCCATTTGTAGTTACTGCAAGGCTTCAGGCTATAAAATCCTGGAAGCTGAGTCGTGAGTGAACACAGTGTTCCCTGTACTATTTGTTTTCAGGGCCTGAACCATCTCTTACACAATCAATGCAAGAGTCTTCAAATTAAATTAATAAATAGTCATAAACCATGTGGCTCTGCTCTCAGTGCCAGAGTTGCTGTGTATTTAAACTGCTAGATGTAAAGCAAACATTTCAAATTCCCTGTACACTGTGTATAGACAATACAAACAGTGATTTATTAATAAAATCTCGCAAATCTTCTGCTTTGACTAGTTCTTCCTTTCTTTCTTTTAAATTGGCGGATGGATATGTTCCAGAGGTACTGGTGAGAAGTCCGGACTTTCCCGTAAAATACGTCACAGAAACCGCTGCCGGTGAGTCGTTTCCTTCTGTGACGCAATGATTTGAAAAATAAATAAATAAACAACTATATATATATATATTCTCAGTACTAAGAAAAATATCAAATTGGATGCTTCTATTCACGTTACCTTAACTTTATATAACCTTGGAGTCATATGTTTATATAAAGTTATATTAAATGTATGGAAGTGGTGTTACAGTTAGTGTTAAACTGACCATCCTATAATAAATAGTTCACTAAATTATTGGAGACAAGTTATTCATTCATGCTACAAAACCACATTTTCTCACTTGCTGGAAGACCAGAGAGTTTATGGAGTTTAATAACCAATGAATGCTTGTGTTTTGGAGATGACTTTTCATCATTTATCATTTAAAATGCTTCTGTATGTTGGCAGACTTGTGCCAGTCTTGTGTCAGCAAGTTGTCCTCTGCCAAGAAATGATCACCAAGTTTAAATATGTCTACAATTGCTTCTGTCTAGTTTATAAGGTCACATTGTGCAAATACACAGAACTTTATGTTCGTGGCAACAACAAAAGTATTTCTTTTTGTAACGTTTTTGTAAATAAATAACTGTGATAAAACAAAATGCATTTTGTAGCATAATGAGACGTGACATTTAGGATAATTACATACTACAGTAGCCTGTTGTTTCCCATGTGGGACTGCATGTGTATGGTATGTCCTTGTTCAAACTGTAATAAACATGATTTATGAGAGAATTCATTATAATAAATTATTATTTTTGCAATTATTCTAATGTTTGTAATCTTTTTGATGCATCGATAACATTTCGGTCACAATGTAAGGCTGCGCTCACTTTTTGGCAAGTGGAAAACTGCATTAGAGATTAGTTGAACTGATCCTTTAGATATATTTCACCAGTACTGGTTACAATGTAGGCCATAGAACAGCTCAGATAATGCAAAAACAAATAATTGCACTTTTCAGCAAAGTATCTTTTTTGTTTGTTTGTTTACAGGAAACTCTTAAATGTAAAAGCAACTTACAGTTAAGATGCCTAATCAACTTTATTTAGACTATGTGTAGTTTACTAGTAAATTGAGACATTTTAGAACAGGAAACTTTGCGACGAAATAGTAATACATTTAAATTTGGAAAGAAATTCGTTTCTGTTGAATGCTTTAGGAACTATTTTAACACTGCGGACGAGCACCAACGGCAGCGTCGCGACAGGACAGTGACGTCACGTACTTTGCCAGTCGCCCCGCTGTTCCGCCGTCCTCCTGTCGAGGCTGAGCTGTCGCTGGTAACTGCTGTTGTTCAGGTGAACATGGCCGCGGGTCCTCTTTCTGTATCTTCCAACGCATCCACTAACAACGATGGCATCCTCATCGGTGACAAAGTTTACTCGGAAGTGTACCTCACGATAGATAACTCGCTTATACCGGAGGAAAGGCTCTCGCCTACACCGTCGATGCTCGACGGCCTCGACCTGAACACGGAGACCGACCTTCGCATCCTGGGATGTGAACTGATACAGTCGGCGGGTATTCTTCTCCGGTTGCCCCAGGTAAGCCCTTTTTAATTGTCAAAATGCCTACATGAAAACACACTGAGTGGCATTTAATATATAACAACCAATAATGCATATGTTTTTTGGTCTTCGATATGTCACGGCCTGGTTAGCAGTTTGCTAATGTTAGCTCTTTGACGTTGGCGTGGTGGAGTTAAAATGGCGGCGGTCCATTGTGCAAGGTTAGGCCAGCTTACACAAGCCGAAATACAAATGTCACGTTGTGTGTTTTCTTTTTAAGGTGGCGATGGCGACGGGGCAGGTGCTTTTTCAGCGTTTTTTCTACTCCAAGTCATTCGTCAAGCACAGCTTTGAGGTAGGTACATTTACTTTTCCGGATTATTGTCAGGCCGCGGGTTGGCCGGCGACGTTAGCATAGCACAACGTTATAGTTACGTTCGTGGCAGCCATATTGTCAATACGCTGTCCGAGAGTTTCTAAACTGCGTTAGGACAAAGAGGATCACGATGCAAAACGCAGACTCAAAGTGCTAATGAACCGTGGATCAAAACATTGTCACTTTTCTGTAGCTACAGACTTCAACAATGTAAAACACAGTGCGTCTGCCTTACAGGTTTTATATTTCAGATGTAAGTTGAGGTGGGATTCTTGACGAATGTGGTTGTATCTGGTTAATCCGTCAGAAATAGTCTATTTACAAACTAACATGTAGTAATGGGAGGGTAGATGTACCTATGCAGTCTCGATTGACATGGCTGTCAAAAGCAAACGTCTATCCTGGCAATAATCCGAATGTGGCAAAAATCTCTCCACTGTTCTTGTCGCATATTTTGTCACATACCAAACCCTGCTCCTCACATGTGGGAGCTCCTCCTCTGGTTGCATGTCTTAAGTTACTAAACTCCTCCTTCCAACTTGCGCTTTGATTGTTTTTTTCCCCCAGATTGTTGCTATGGCTTGTATCAACCTGGCCTCCAAGATTGAAGAAGCGCCACGACGAATACGAGATGTCATCAATGTTTTCCATCATCTCAGGCAGATGAGATGCAAAAAGTAAGCATCAATATTGAATCCAGTATTCTCTTTATGGGAATAACAACTAATGTTTGTCACATGTAACATGTTGCATTGTATTTTTTTGTTTCTATCCAATGATGTAAGATGTTGATCTGCTTTTGCTGTGACAGTGCTCTTCTGTTTATCCATGTACTCTAAACCATTTTTAAAACTTTTCAGTTTCCGCTTCACTGGTAGTTTCAGAAGTGTAATTGTCTACATTAAACATCAGTTTGACATTACACTGAAATTGATATCTCAACGAGCTCGCTCCAATAATTGGAGTGCATTTTAAGCATTGTAAGGCAAGGCACAGCTACTTAATGTGTGCCTTTGTCTTCATAGAAATCTGTTCATGTCAGTATTGTAGACCTTGGCATTAACTTGGATTCTTTTTTCCCTTGCAACCAACTAACAGCGACCAGCTACATTTACCAAAGCCTGGGTGATGTGGAATGGTACGTAAGATGAAGCAGTCGGCATGACAACCATGATGCGAGGGGGTCTCTCTCCTCCCCCAGGCCCACCCCACCCCCGTCCTGTGGGAGACTCCCGTGGTCTGAGCCACCGCAGGGCACTGGGATCGGGGATGACAGGTTGGCCGAAGGTCCTTGGCCCCTGGGGCACCTTGAGGACTCCTGTGGTTCAGTCTTAAGCTTTGGGTATCTGTCCGTCAATCTGCGGACCATTGGGTAATGTAGTTTTCTTTGACTGCTCCTCACCCTTTATTTTGATTGTGTTTCAAGAGCAAGACCTCATTCACCAGCTGTAGCCCATGGCCTTTAAAGAAATATCACCTTGTTTGTTGAAGTTAGAGTAATTGATTGGTTATTTGCTGTTCATGTGCATGTATTGCAGCTTTAATAGTACGCCTTTATATGTGCTTAATTTGAATCAGCATTAAAATAATTGTATTAATAATTGTGATGCACTTTTAGAAGGCATTTCTTTCAGTGTTGTTTTGTACTCTAAAGATTCATGTTTGGTATTGGATATTACTTCGGTCTTTAAAGTTTTTCGCCATGCATGTGGATTGTAGCATGACATTATTCACATATAACCTTCTTTACTTGACAACGAAACGCTAGATTTGGATGCGAAATTAGAACTTTGCTGGTTCTGAATTGAAATGCTAATTTAATACTCACAGGTGATGGATGCATTCGGATGATTTCAGTCAGATTTTTTTCTTGATTTTTGTTTAGTCTGTGATGTGGCTGAGTGGATAGTTGAAATGAAGCAGACTGACAGGTGATCTTTGAACCAATTTAAGATTTTGAACAGATTTAATTCAGAATGCATGCGGTCCAAGTTTTTGGTTTTTAGAAGGACTGTTCAATAAAATTGTCATTTTTAGACCTTTGTAGATTTTTAAATTATTAAACAGCATATGTCTTGCAGATTAGTACATTATAGTTTGCTGTGAAGGTGAATTGTTGTCACTTGACAAGGACAACTGTACGTCTGATTGTTTGATCAAGTCTGGATGTTGTGCTGTAATAAAGTAGGAAGTCTGTTGTTTTGGTTCGTTAAATATTGAGTAATGACATATAGCACATGAGTATGGGTGAGAATTATTTGTGAGTTTGTATTTTTCTTTGAGTTTGTAGTTCAGATTTGAAGGAACGAAATGTTTGTGTTGAAACAGTGACATTAGAGATGATCTGAGTTGATATTTCTGTTAAAGTGCTGAAACAGGGTGATTGAGGTCGAGTGCTTTCTGGAGATCCCACAAGCTTTGACTGGAACCACAGGAGTCAACAAACCCCAGCAAACTGTCAGGCATACAAACAGTTAAACCTGTTGCTTTGAGTTGGTTGAAACGGAAAAAAGAAAAGAGTACCAGAAATCAGAAGGGCACTGTCTCTTTTACGTTTATTACGAAAGGGGGGTACATTATTTTATTTTGATTCCTTTATAAACTAGGACTCCAAGTTCATTGATACTTGATCAGAACTACATTAATACCAAAAACCAAGTCATCAAAGCGGAGCGGCGGGTGCTGAAGGAGCTGGGCTTCTGTGTGCATGTCAAGCATCCACACAAGGTGAGTTTAAGCTGCATTCTTATCTAATTAAATTATAGAGTACAGTTTAGCTTAGCTCCTGAACATATCTTGAACTGTGTCAAGCATACACACAAGAAGCAACCTTAGCAGACCATTCTCACTTTTTAAACAGTTTGATCTTAACAATGGCACGCCTGGGCTGGTTTTTGTGTTTTTTAACATGTAGTTAATGTATGATTCCAGATCATTGTCATGTACCTTCAAGTCCTGGACTGTGAGAAGAACCAGACACTGGTCCAGACCGCCTGGTAAGTTCCTTAGCAGTTCTTCACTGACCATCCCCTACAGCAGCAACCTGTGTCATGTCTGCAAGAAGTGCCACCAGACCTGGGCTAAAGATGAAGTTGAACGAGTTTCAAATGGTTGAATTTCTGAAGAGCACTTGATTTATCTGCTAGGAACTTGGGACAGACCCATATATGGAAACAGCACCTGTCAGATAAGTGATATTCAAGTGCCCCTCAAGTTTCAAGGCACAAATTTGAAAAGCATTCAACAACCATTTTGCCCAGGTCTGTCAGCGACATTCCCTCACTCCATTTAAACCCTCCCACCTCTTTTTTTTTTTTTTTTCTTTTTCTGATGGAGCAATTTGTTTTATTGCAAACCTGCTACTTGTTTCACTCTCTTGTCTGCCCTTACATGGCTTGCTGTAAAGTCTGTTTGATTTTCGGTGCCCAGGGAACTTGGTTTAACTTTGTCCTTTCTCTCTACTCTTTGATTAAAGGGTAGTCCATGCTGGTAAGTCACATAAAGAACCTCTGAACTCTGCCTCCTCCAACCACATGACCTCAGGAAGCTCCCCCCATTGGCTGGCTGCCCCTCTCCTGACAGCCAATCCCAATGCCGAGATTCACTGAAGGGGGCGGGCGGGCCTTTCCCAACAGCCAACATCGTCTTGTTTTCTCTTGGGTGTCAAAAAGGATTTGTATTTTTTGGTCTTGCTACAAAGGTTTTCAACTGTAATACCTATTTTTGCCAAGTAGCTACATATAGATTGACATTCTCATTTTTTTTTCTAGTTTACTTGCATTTAGCAATGAAGTAAACTTAGCCAGAACAGAATACATTTTTGACCAGTTTACCTGCCTATTTTTTATATTGACAGTAGAATACTGTGTCTTATCCCCAACTGACGTGGTGTCCAGACATGTGTCTGTCTTACAGGCTGATCCAGTTCTCAGGTTTTGCCTCCACGGACCTGTCTCACCCACGCAGCAATCAGAATCCAACGGCCACGTGTTGTCTATAGTAGCGTTGGCGTGGCAGTTTCACACTGACCTGCCAAAGAGCCGGTCAGGTCATTTGTTGAAGGCAGGTTAGACTGGAAGCAATCTCTGTGTGGCAGGTTTTCAACATTTGCGCCAAACTTCCACTTAAGCAGTACATATAAATTATATGTATGGGAGGAAATTGACACGGTGTATGGCAGAGTGTCACCACTTCTAAAGGAAGTTTGACTGCCTTGAGATTAGCTGTGGTATTTTTGCCTGGTTGTAGTTCCTTTTGAAAATAATCTGTGTGGGATCAGTGTTGAGTTAGTTTGTCAAGGGGTTTTAACATCATGTTTTTGTTATCACACATGTTATTTGTCTTCAGGACTTCTATGTTTCTTGAGAACATAGATGGTCTCACCACCCTGTATTTGCCTGATTCACAACCTGGCCATTTTGTCTTTCCTAATACTGTCCCATTGGCTAATCTCATTTATCCATTGTCCTAGACAACCGTCTGACACATAATCTGTCGTGTAGCTCAGAGTTCGCTCAGCCTAAGTAGTGAGGCGTAGATTTCCACCTGTCTGTCAAAGCAGTCTTTCAGTGCCATCAAGTGAAATGGAGTTGCAGATGAATAGAATCGGTGGCCTTATGGGGGTTAGTTGTAGCTAATGGCTTGAAGCCATTTACTCTGTATGGGATATGGTTGCTGTTATGCGGCTAAACCTATTAACATGGTGGTTGCAATACTAGTTACGTTTATTATTCACAATATTATACTGTTAATGCATCATTTTAGTGCATCAACAGGTTATTGACTGTAAAAATCAGCTGTTGCATGCCACTGTAAATGCTGTGCTTATCTATTTCTTTCGGATCTAACAATCTGAAAGTGGCAGCTGCATTGTAGATGATTGTTTTACATCTGTATGCCTGCATGTTCCCCACCATACAAGGCATGTGTCATTGTCTCAATCATCATTGGGTGTAATCTAGATATTCTAAGGTCATAGTGTGGTAAGATGGTCTTGGCGGGTCATCCATAATTTTTTTTTCTCCATCTCTGTCTTCATGCTTTTTCTGTGACATACAGCACTCCCATGGATACCCCAGAGAGAAATGGACAAAGTTAAACATGACACAAGAAAAATGCATATCTCACTTCAGTACTGTTACCTAAAAATGTGTAGCTGTTGTCCTTATATATCAGGGCCAATGAATAATCTAAAATGCCGTCAGTGTTGGTAATGGTAGCATCCAGAAAATCAGTGACCACGTACAGTGTTGGTACTTGTCCAGAAGTGACCAACCACAAATGCCTTTGCGGAGAAGACTATAAACGTGTACATAAAAATTATTATTTTTTAAAGCCCTGGTGAGGAGTTGGCATTATGAGAGTAAATGTTGCAAATTATTCACCTTCAGTGTTAAATTATGGTTAAAGGCGTGACATGACTTAAAAGATGAGTGTGGGTGTGAGGAGGGTTTGTGTGGAGAAAATGCTATGTTTGTTTCTATGCTCTCTTTGCCTTCATAGGAACTACATGAATGACAGCCTGAGGACGAATGTGTTTGTGAGGTTCCAAGCTGAGACTATCGCCTGTGCCTGCATATACCTCGCTGCCAGAGCCCTGCAGGTAAAAAGAAGCACTAATCTAAAAAAATGTCTTGACTTGGCCATGAATGTGGTTTTCGTTTTGCTGGCCTTGCTTTCATCGTCACATTAAAACTATAGCTATAGTATTGTCCCTTTTAAAGGTTATAACCTTGGTTGTGTGCATGTTTTTCCCAGATACCACTGCCATCAAGACCTCATTGGTACCTGCTGTTCGGAGCCAGTGAAGAAGAGATTAAGGAGATCTGCATCACCACCTTGAAACTTTACACTAGAAAGAAGGTAACTGTTTTGAGTAAGATTAGGCTGACTATAAATCATAGTGTAATTTACTGTCTTTTTAGATATTTTCTGTTCCTCACCCTGTGGAAATGTGACTCTGAGCTAAAAGCTACAATGGTGTAGAGCTTTGTGACTTTTGCCACAGTGGATACTGCCTGTTGCTACAAACGTAGTACTTGGTGTAGTCTTTTGTATTAGCTGATTTTTTTTATTTTTTTTTTACACCCCCAGCCTAACTATGAGCAGGTGGAGAAGGAGGTGGAGCGAAGGAAGGTATTCTTGGCAGAGGCTAAACTGAAGGCCAAGGGCCTGAACCCTGATGGTACCCCTGCACTTTCCACACTTGGTGGTTTCTCTCCTGCTTCCAAACCCTCCTCCCCAAATGTGGTTAAAGTAGAGGAAAAATCTCCGAACCCCCAGACCCTCAAACCAATTAAGAAGGAGCCAGACAACCGGACTCAGCTGAACAAAAGCCCACACAATGGGTAAGAAATAAACACACATTTTTATTGTGAGGACGTTTTGGTGTCATCATTTGTTTCAGAGCTAGAGCTGGAAAATGTTCTTTGCCAGTTATGCAACAGTGTTCGTAGGTGTCTTCAACTTTCCAAGACTAATCTTGTTCTCTTTCCAGGTTAAGGAAGGAAGTAAAGATCGGGAGAAACAGTAGGAGTGGAAGTCGGTCTCGTTCAAGAACGCGTTCGCGCTCCAGATCCCGCTCCCCTCGCAGACAGTAAGCTCGTCTACAATAGATGTAGACATGATTACTATACTAATTTTAAAGTACCAACCTATACAGTAGTGTTGCACTAACTTGCAGCCTTTGTTAACAGTGTACACAGATCATTTTGTTCAGTTAGCTGAATCAGTGCTCATCATCTTCTCTCTTTATTTTCCACAGTTACAACAGCAGACGAAGTCGCTCAGGGACCTACAGCTCTCGTTCACGTTCTCGCTCACACAGTCGCAGCCCATCGCCTCGGCGACATCAGCCCTCACCCCTCCTACCCCACCTCAAGTCCAAGTCCAGCCACCATGGCAATAGTGATTCCAAGCCCAGCGGTCGTCACAGCAACAGCGGAGGTGGAGGATCTGGCCACAAGAGGAAGCGATCGCGGTCTCGGTCACGATCCCGCACTCCAGTCAAAGTAGACCGGGACCGAGACAGAGAGAGGGAGCGGGAGAGAGACAGAGACCGCAGTTCCTTTGACCTCTCAACCAAGAAACACAAACATGAGCGTGGCGGTGGTCATCGAGGAGAAAGGAGGGAGAGGTCTCGGTCCTATGACAGGGACAGAGAGAGGGAGCGTAGCCATAAGAGCAAACACCACAGCAGTAGTGGGCACTCAGGACATGGCCGCCATCGACGCTGAGAGTCCCAGCAACAGACTAGCTCTGAGGCTGATGGTCACCGAAGTATTTTGAGTATATGCAAAACAAGATCAGGTTGGACATGTTCTCTGAGTAGTATTTGCTGACATGGTCTGTTCATTTAATGCCAGCTGGAGTAAATTCAGCAGAAACATTTTGCAAAATTAATATGGAAGTTAACCATATATCTGCTGTCTGTACAGTCAGATGGCATTGTTGACATGTCTCTTTTGGGAGACCAAGAATTTGCAAAAAATTTCAACACTAAGCACTCTGACTGTAGCCAAATGCGAAGAGTAACTGAGAACATGTCATGTCTGATTGGATTTTTGATATATTACAAGCCTTATTCTCACATAGTTTGGTTTCTGGGTTTCTCACATGCATCCCAAAGCGGACTATTCAAATTATATAATTAACCTGGTTTTCTTTATTTCCTTCATTGTTGTTGATGTAAGTCAAAGAAAGCATTTTGTAACATTTATTTTTGTTTCAGTGGCAACATTGTATCTTTGAGTCTCATTGCACAGCAGCTCATCTGCAGAGGTGGTTAATAGTTCTGCATCTGAGGAACCCAGACTGCAGCAGCAGCTACCATCATGCTCTGTGGGTAGGTTTGTCTAAAGAGCCTTTTTTCACCTGGTCAGATAACATCAGTAGGTCAGGAAAGGCACCAGTGCACAGTGACATCAGCCCAGGCCTGTCATCGTATTTTCCCATGATTCCTCCCTCCCTCACACACACACATCTACAACCAACCATCTAGCCTACCCTTGTGTTCTTAGTTTTACATGTAAAGTTATGGACTTTGGGGAAAAAGGAACTTTTTTTACAGTGTAAAGTTGGATTGATATCCACTGACAAAATGTGAATGCTTTGATTTATAAAAGCGAACAGCTCAGTGGAAGGATTGAATGAATAAATGTAAAATAAAAATGTCATTCAGGAAAGATCAATATGTTTGCACAGTAGGGAACTGACAGGCGAGTGGTTTTTCGTTTCTTTTTTTTATTATTATTATTGAACAGTGTATGTTGCAAAAGCCGTATTTTGTACAGTTTAAACAAAAAAAAGCAAATTGGTTATATACTTTACGATTTTTTTTTCTCCTTTATTTTTCCAGCAGGGAACGCAGACTTGGTTCAAAATATTTTTAGGTTTGTCAATTTGTTACACTGGTTTTTAGTCTGCACGTGTTCATGTCCAACTTTTATTCAATAATAAATGAATTACGCCACTGAACTCTACACTCTTTATTGAATTGGTGCCTGTTGTAATAAAATAATTGTTATGAACAAAGAAATCTTTGTTTAAGCTAGACGAGTGAAAATTCTTGATTGCGTTTGTATCAGGTGTGTTGAATTTGACTCAGTGTGGAGTCTGTGCTCTTAAGTGCTTTGAGGTGAAAAGAGTATTGCAGGGAGAAGAAATATATTTAACGGCAGCCAGAGGGTGCTGTTGGTTTTACCGAAAGTGGCCTTGGTTTCCCTCAGAGTGGCTGTGCCCAATGTCATACTTTCATATGTTCTTATAGGAAACGTAATTTTAATAGTACATAGCAGATGGCATCGAAAAGGATAATGTAAGAAAAAAAACTGTTTATCACAACAGTTTCCTGCCAGAATCTGACATTGCTATAGGGACTGTCTAGACATCTCTACATAATTCAACTGAAACTAAGCACAGTTTGTTCATTTTTAATGATGGTTTACTTAGTGTGTCTTTGCTAGAAGTATTGTATAACAAATTATTACACAGAAAAAGCCTCAGCTAAATCCAAATAAGGGAGAACTTAACTAAAATTAAAAGTGACGCTCTAGTGAATTTCGTCATGTGGTGTTGGAAGCCAGAATTAAATCACTGGACTGTGTTACTTAGATCGACACAGTCCAACATTGGCTACTATTAGACTAAACCAAGTAGCAGAGGGTTTCCACTTAGAAACAACTGTACAGGAACAACACATGGATTGTGTCACTGTCCACCTCTCTGTCACCTCTCTGCTCCATCTCTCCTCTGTTATTGAGCAACTTGTTCTGTCTCACACTTTCCAGTTTTTACACACTTCATCATGACACTGTCACACACTAAGTGATTACATCTGTCAGTAAGCCCAGCTCCTGTCCATTAGGTGGCACACACACTCATGCTGACATGTTAGACCATCTGGTGCTCTTCAAACTGTAAAAACGAAGGTAGCGCACAAAAAGCATTAACTCTCCTTCAGCGTATACAGGTCACACACTGATATATCTGCAGTGTGACTCAGCCTTTGGCTCTGCAGAGCTGTACATCCTCCCTGAGTAACAGTGAAATAGAGCACAGAGTCAAATAACAGCCCTGAAATCACTCAGTGTACCTGGTTTGTGTGAGATCAGTGAATTTCTTGCAAAAATCAGCAGCACATGTGTCAACTAAGACCAGAAGGAGAGCAGACATAGCGAAGATTTTAGTCTCTGCTACTTGTTTATAAAGCACTTGTTGAACTCGGTCCTACCTATTTATCAGATTTGCTGTTATCCTTTGAATCCTCCAGAACCTTCAGGTCTCCTGATAGTGTTTTTTAGTTATACACAAAGTCAGAACTGAGGCCCACGGTGGGGCAGCCTTTTGTTATCACAGTCCCATCTCTGGAACAGCCTTCCTGTCTGTTGGACAGGTAAAGAAGTTACTCCTGCTTTGGTATTTCCATCTATCACACCAAAACCAGTGCCCTCGGGTCAGCTGCAGGGCCATCAGCTGAAAGACGTCAGCCCCTTCACCAGTACTCCCAGCTAGAAGGCAGTGCCACAGTAGGGACATCTCCCTGCCAGCTCCCACCAGCTGCTCTAACAGATCTGAGACCTATAGACCTGCAGCAGAGAATGTTGCTCTTTTTCAAGACTTGCTATTTTAGTTTGTTAGTTACATTCTATTTGTATAAAAAGTGCAAAGCAAATCAATTTTGATTGATCCCACTTAACAAATCCAGCACAGTGATGCTCTCTGTCTGAGCATTGCTACTATGTTTGTGGTGGTCGACTTTGATTTTTAAGATACTGAGTCTGCTGCCTCCACTACTGTAGGTTGGTCTTACTCCAGAGAACCTATCAGAGGAGCTAACTGTGCTGTCTGCTGTAAAGAATGTGCCAGGGAAGTGAACGATTTGGGATTTGTTCTTTAACACAGAGTGCTAGATGCCACACAGTGGAAAATACACATGTGAGATTAATGATGGCTCAGTTCTGTTAAGCTGCTCCAGTGAATCAGCAGAAGCAGAGTCTCCCCTCAGTGAAGCGCTGCATCATTAATGGTATTAAATACAATACCTGAGTTGTTGCTGCTACAAGTCAAAAGATCTGCCATGTTCCCTTAGCGATTTGTATGAGACCTGACTGGTTAGTGGAGTAGTTCGATTGAGCTTAGTGGAGTTGGGATTCACATCATGTCTCTCAACTCTATATTAAGGAAGGTCCACTCCAGCCTCACACTTGAAGGCTGGTCTTGATTTAACCCACAGAATACTCATTTTATACTCAGGTATCCTATATTTAAGAATCATGCACTTTGTTAAATATCCTAATAAGTGATGCTTCTGTTGGCCACTGAAATGGTTGATGCTCGAGAAACTCCTCGAGACTGACTGTCAATATTACATCATGTCATTGTTTTAAGCTCGCGTGTTTACCGTTGTGGTGTACTCGAACAGCTCTCATGGCATCATTTTCACCTGTATTCAGAGAAAAGCTTAAAAAATACTCCAAATACTTCATACATGGAGCACTTGGCCGCTAAAGAGTCTCATAAATCCCAAAGAAGAGAAGAAAACCAAAAGCAGACATACAGAGAGAGTGAATACTGGACTTAATTTGGCATATCAGCGAACAAGGTGGAAATATGTTGTTGTTGTGCTTGTTTCTGCTGCCTTCATGTGGCCAAAAACAGTTACTGCCATTCAGTATGACTGCCCCTTTTTTCCAGTAGACACTGAGGCATCCTGATTTTATTACTACAACTAACAGAAAAATGCTGCTTTGTCTTCAGTCTGAAACAAACAGCTGTATGTGATGTAATTATTAAAACATGATGATGTGTATCTGTCAAAAATAATTATTTTAATAGCTTCATATTGCATGTACACTGCAAAAACTCAAAATCTTACCAAGTTTGTTAGGGTCCGAGCAC